TCAAGTGGAACAAATAGCTCAGACACTGATGTTCGAGATTTCAGTGTCAGTTTCTGTGACAGCGGTGATTCGAGGTGGAGTGTGAGGTTATATAAACCCAGGCCACGCGCTTAGTTAGCGAGTACTTTTCACGCACTTGAACCGGCGATTATTCAACAATTGTTTCATCTCACTTTGGACCTCCACATCAGTACAAAATCACCGGTTTTCAAACCCATTGACTTCTTGTGACGAGGTGAGCTCGTTGATCGTTCAGCCACTGGAGCTTAGCTTAGTGACAACACAAGCCAGTCTATCTCTAAGAATAAACCCGAATAGGAAACGGCAAGTTTGGAGCGGTAGTTGCTGTAACTTGGAGGAAACTGTGTGAGGAAGAGATGAGGGCTTATGCACCTTGATGGAGTCATCTGGTAATATTTGTAACTAGGATTGAATAGATTCACACCTCATCCTGAAAGGATTACAAGATAAGTTGAAAGATAAACTTCGCCAGGAACAAGCTGGATTCAGTTGAAAAGAATCACTTAGGCATCGAATCAGCACGCTTCAAAGCCTAGAATGAAATAATGCGGAACATTCGTTTCTTTAGTGGTGGTGACATGGTGAAGATCATGGCGAGAGGAGATTAAGTGTTCAAATTTACAGAAGTGTGCAAACAATTATCAGTAATTGCTTATACAACTAACGTGTTGACAAGTTCTAGATAACTGACAAAATAACAAACAAATCGGCTCGATTCAATAACAGACTCACGTAATATCCAACTCAATAACTAACTAACTAACTAACTAATTGCCTTCCCATCCAGTTATCTAACCAACGTTGAACAAACTAAACAACTAAATAGCTTGCGAACTGAGTGAGCACATAGATGAATAACTGAATAACCAACTCACTGCCTCAATAATCCAATCAGTAGCTAATTTATTCAAAACAAAACAACAAAATAACTATCTAACTAAGTCTGCTTCAACCAGCTAAGTGACTAAACTGCTAATAATAATAATAATAATTGACTTTATCCCAAAAACAGTAGTTGTGATACACAATGGAATTTTCAGCATTAATCACAATATTGCATCTAATTTCCTCAAATTATAAATAAAATTAATCACACAAAAAATTTTTCTACATTTACAATAGGGGTTATGTTTGTGAAAGTGAAAACAAAGAAGCAACAGGACCATAAATATAATAGAAATAATAAAAGTAAAACTTGAAGGTATATAAAGATGGATGGAGGAGATTGTTTATTTACAAGATGAAAAAAGGTTAGTCAATTCTTGCCTGACGCTATTTTCATTACATAGAATACGTGCCAAGTATGATATCATAGAATTTTTATACTTAGAAGTGCGAGCAAACAATTTTCTGAAGTTACTTCTTCTACTTGAGGAGATGTAAGGTTAAAACTGGGGGTGAAGTGGATGCTCCAAATCAGACAAAATCCCTTTAGCAAATTTACTGCACGAAGTAAAGTTCCTTTCGACAACGACGTTAACTATGTAGTCCACTGGGACACCACTCATCCTACTGACAGTCTTCAGCATTCTACGAATTGTGACAAAGTCATTTTAAGCAAACTAGGAAAGAATAAGAGTGAACAATAAAGAAGAATAGGTAGGATACAAGAGTTTATGAACTGTAAGAGGCAGAGGGGTTGAGTTATACCCGAGTGCCTTAACTTCTTAATGTAAAATGTCAGGCGGAATATTTTAATGGAGATCGCTAAGACATGGGAAGACTAGGAGAGACCAGAAGAGAGAATAAGTCCAAGATACTTAATTTCTGATTTAATTCCTATATTATTGTCGTCAATCTTACAACTGTCATGAGAATCGACGGCTTCTTTTAACTGTCGTTTACATCTTAAGCTGAAATTAGCAGTTTGACATTTAGAAGGATTCAGTTTAAGACCGTTAGACTCAGACCATTTACTGACTCCCGACAGAAAGCTATTTATTTTGGTAAAATCTAGCTGGGAGTTAACAGCCATTGAAGCTGTTGAATCATCAGCGTACTTCACAAAGTTTATTTCATCAGACTGAGGCAAGTCATGTAAGAAGAAAGAAAAAAGAAAAGGAGAAAGGACAGCGCCTTGAGGGACACCAGCTTCACTAGGCAGTGAAGTGGAGGACTTCCTTTTATACAAGGTGTACTGCTTTCTTTCTGAGAAATAAGAATGTAACCAGTTAACAGCCCAACATTCTGTTTGACTTGCAGCAAGTTTATTTAATAAGATGTCCCTAGGGACCGAGTCAAAAGCAGATGTATAGTCTAGGAAGGCACAACGAACAAATTTAGCCCCTTTGTCTAGACTGGAAGCAATGTTATGATACAAGACTGCAGCTGCATCTAAAGTGCTTCTACTGTGCTTATAGGCAAACTGTTTTGGGTCATTAAAGGATTTAAGAGAGGGTACAAGACTAAGTAAAAGTAGTTTCTCCATAGTTTTCAAAAAGGGAGAGGTAATAGTAATGGGTCTAAATTTGACACATGCTCCAGTAGATGATTTAGGTATGGGTACAACTTTAATGTCTTTCCAAACAGCAGGAACAATATTACTGGAAAAAGATTTGTTAAACAGATCAATGAGAGGGTAACATAGAATATCAGAACATTTTTTGAAAATAATACTAGGTACATGATCTGGACCTAAGCTCTGGGAAGGGTTCAGAGACTTGAGGCACTTTTGAACATCATTTGTGTTAAAACCTGGAAAGGGGCTATTATTAACACTAGTGATACTGGGAAGCATGGAATTTGAGGGAGAATAAATAAAAGATTTATTAAGAGTACATACATCAGAAGAATACGGAATATTGTTTATGTGCTTACCACCAGTGATTTCCTTAAATAGTTTCCACATATTAGAAGCATTTTTGCAGGATATGAATTTCTGGTTATATATAACATTCAATCTCTGCATTTCAGACTTGATAAGGGAGTTGATTCTTTTTACGCCACTTTTATCTTTCATTTGATATAGCTTTTCCTTCTTTCTACGAAGCTTTTTAAGTTGAGGGGAGGAGAAACAGTCGAATTTGACGAATATTGTTTCTTTTGGGCAGCAGATTTCAAAACAGAATTTCAGATAAGACGTAATATTAGAGATAGTGTCATTAAGTGAAACATCCTTAAACAGATCCCATCTTGTGTCACTGAGCATGTTTCCAAGATGTTGTACATTCTCATTTGAGTAACATCTGTGAACAACTTTCTTAGACAAGTTAGTAAAGCCTTTTTTGTGTAACTTTCCATAAACTTTGGGTAGAACTCGTACAATACAGTGATCAGAGTTTGAGAGTGGAGCTCTTTTACGAGCTTCGTATATTCCAGAATCATTTATGAATACTAAGTCAAGCGAAGTATCTTGTCGAGTTGGGAAGTTAACCACATTTTCATGACCCAGATATTTGTGACAAAAATGCAGTTATACTTAGATAAGTGTTTAGGTCGGCATTTAACAGTTATACAATCAATGTTGTCATTTGAGAATTTGAAGCAGACGTTGTTGGCAGTAGACCACTCAGAATTAATAAAAGTGGCAACACCTCCACCTCTCTTCTTCTTTGAGCTGCATCGGTCTTGTCTATACATTGTGAAATCAGGTAAAGAAACTAAATTATCGTCATATGAATCGTGCAGCCAAGTTTCTTGAAGAGTAATTACACCAGTATTACAATATACATTTGAGTATAATAGAGAATGCAAGTAATTAATCTTGTTTAGTAGAGATCTGCAATTTGTGCTCATAATCACAGGAACAGTCATCAAATGCATTGGAGTACGCTTTAAAGCTCGTTGCCATCCACCGTGAGGCTTTTTCTTAAGTTTGTTAGAAACTAGTAAATCAGCCGGTTGGAAACGTTTTAAATAACCGCGAGAGTAAACAATACGATTAGGACATATAATTGAATGATTAAAATAAAATAAATCCGAGGAAATAGATGCAATATATAGGATGGAAACCTTGGTAGCCCAAGATTTAAGCAGGCCAACCAACATATGGACTAACTAGCTAAACCAACAAAATAACACGCTATCTGACTGAATATCCAACCAAATGACAAACTAACTGAATAACTAACCAGAAAACCAACTGAACAACTAACGAAGCAACTAACTAACTAACTAGTCACCTAAAGAAGCTTCAACTAACTAAGAAACTGACTAACTTATAAATTAACTTTGAATCAAAAATGGATAACTCACTGAGCATAGCAGACTAACTAAACAGGCAAATAACTAATTTCCTATCCACCCTTTATTAACTAACTACCTAACTAACCTATAACGAACAAACTAAACAGTTATGCAGACAACTATCTGCCTAACTCAATAAATAGCCTACTAATTTACTCACTATCTGACTAACCAACAAACTGAGTGTGCTTCAAATAAATAATCACGATTCAACTGTGTAACTAACCAACACGCGACTGAATTAGCAGACAGTTCGTCAATTGAATAACCAACACGCTATCTAACCTGAGCTGGAACTAGCTGACTAAGTAACTAACCTTCCATCATCCGACTTATTAACCAAATAATCAGTTAATTAATTAATTCATTAACTACCGAACTACCTAACTATCCATGTCATTTTGTACTGGCCAACTAACCCTAAACAAGTGAATCTACTACACAACTTACTTATCTAATTGCTTACCTATTCACTTGCCTACCTACTCACCTACTCAGGTAAATCTAACACAAGATTACTTATGTGAATTATCCTGTGTTATTGAAAATAAGAGTTTTAGAAATCTGATTTGTGGGAATTGTTTCAATTTAGTTGTACAGGCATACAGATAATTACAAGCAATTGTTACTGTCCTCAAATTTCTGTTGTGAATTCCACATGAGATTATCACGCCGTAACGCAAAATGCGCGCTTATATTAGATGTTGAGAAGTGCATCCTATTTCCCACACACACTCTCTCTCACTGTCCCCCCACCTCTATCACTTTCTCACATTCACTGGCCACCTGTAGCGTATAAATAGGGCCATGTTCAATTCAACAACGCTGCACATCAATAACATGATTGAGAAACATTGTCTGATCCTGGCGTTTGTTTGGACGTTGTTTCAATGTAAGTGATTGTCAGTGGTATCACGTACCTTTTTATTGCATATACTGATCTACATTTATATATGATTCCTAAGTTCCGTGTTTGTTCCAGAGCCGATACTCAACTTATTTCCATCCAATACACATGAAAAAACTGGGTGATTTCGCCCCCTTATGTGCCATCTTTTCACATGGTTGGTTGGTCATTGATGTCGATAGATTACTGTTGAAAGGGCATCTGAGAGTGATAATATTACGCAGCACGTACTTTCGTCACGACCATTTGTGATTTCACAAGTGATGGACGAAATACATACACTGGCCACCACCTCTGATTTTATCTACCTATCTCTCCATCAATTTATGAATTGAGGTTTTCCTGTCAAGCCAGTTGTAATAGTCCTTGTTCTAGAAACTTAAGTTTTCGGGGTGTTTCGGACACCTACTAGAATGCTTAAGTAAATCTGAATTGAGAACAGTCCGATGTGAGACCAGTCTGTCCAAAGACGCCAACGACACTAAAATTGAAGACTGTTTTTCTATCGTCTGTCGGGTAGCAAATCAATCGCTAGAAGCCTCTGAGGCACCAAATACACGAAACAGAATAGGCTATTACAGTTTGCCTACAACAACTGGGCTATATGTGTCAAAGAAACAACTCCGACCACTGCTTCCTCCACTAACCTACTATGAAACCTACAAATTCATTCATTCCTTGATTTTATCATGCTAAAGTTATCTGATATTCACTCCGGTGTTTTACTGATTTTGTTGGTAGTACTTGGGTCAAGCACAATAATTCTCTAATTATTGTCAGTGAATATAACCGTAGAACCTGAAGGGGTGTTAGCTATGAAAAAGAATATTCTTTGTACATTTATCAGTCTTTTATTCGAGCACCTGTGATTTAGTGATTTCACCGTCGTTTATTTTTGTTTTGTCAATTTCATTACAGTGTCCTACGTCCTGAGCAAGGAAATATCTCCGGCTGAAAGAGGTAAGTCATGCTAAGATTGTTCTGCAGACGACTTGAATAAATTTTCGACTACACTGAGTTTCTCTTTTTCGGGTTGACCAATTATCATCCTCGTGTATACCTGTTTAGTCACAAGCAAACATGCACAGAATGCTAATCTAACGCGGTGAGATATGAGACTTGGGAACAAACCTTACTTGCCCACATTACAATTCTGTAGGTCAAGTGGGAGTAGGCATTTCTGATTATTTGGCAACCGGCCAAAGGTCGATTATGTTGTCCGGTGGAGTTACCTGATGTCCACAGCGTAAAGTAAAACCACGTTTGATGCATAAATACTTCGACATCTGTAGCTATTCACTCAAAATGTTGATTTCAATTCCAACCGCTTCCTACGTCATACAGCATACACTATTACTATTTGCTATTTGCTGTTCAGTTAGACATCCTTCAAGTGGTGTACATATCAAGGAGTAGAATTGATTTTCTCGCTATGGCAGATATCACTTAGGGATTGTGAATGGTGTTTCACACCTGCAACGTACAACTTGTTTCTATATCAGAATTGGTTATACGAAGATGACGTCAGTCAGCTTCACGGTAAGCGGAGACCTGGAGAGCAAATACATGTGTGTTCTGTGTGGAATACACGGCCTGACCAACACATCTTCAATGAACTAACTTTCCTGGAATAACTTCCATCCGTTCCTGTGACTTCCAGCAAGCTTCCCTTCCCTCCTTACAATATTTTCTTCATGTCACCTTCAGAGTGAATTCGAACACTTCGCTACACACCCTGGTTCAAACCGAAGGCCTGCCTATTATGCGATGTGCCATGAAACCAATCGGTCATGACAATGACAATGAAGCTCACAGGTTATTGACAATTAGTGGTTAAACAAATCAAAATGCATGAGAAATAACAATAAATGAAAAATCACTGTCAGAGGGCGAAATTCCTAATAGGTTACTGCCTTCACTCACCCAGTCAGATTATAAGGTTTCAAATACAGGACATGAAAATCAGTCAGAATCTTGAGGACAGGCCTTCATTACAGTGAAATCAGTTTGTTAATCTGCTACACTACGTAAATTAAACATAACGTGATTTTAGAAACACCAAAGTTGAGTCAGTTCGTCTCTACGGTTCTGTGACTTGACATGCGCACCATCGAAGCTATTTCCAACTGATCACTGCAGATCTGTTTCAAACGCGTGAGTCATCGCTGTACACTGAGGATCGGACAGCCGGCTAGAAATGATAAGCAACAGGAAAATTTAGGGTCGAAACAATCTGCCACCCTGATGCTCAACAGATATTCTGTAGCAAATGGAAGTGCTTCTGGCACAGACTGAGGACACAGTTGAATAATATTCCACTTCGGGCGTTGGAGTGAAATCGAATTAGGAGACAGTGACTGTGGCATCGGAGGATGATAAAGTGCAGGCCGTAGAGGGAGGAGATGAGGGCGTGTGCGCAATCGTGGGGCTAGCTTGATATTACTGCAGAGGAGAAGAAAGGGTACATATGGTCTGCTGAAGCGCCATGCTCACCTAAATACCCAACGTCACAATTATAAAGAAATGATACACAGAGAGTATTACACAACAAATCAGGAGGATAAAACTGACTCAGAGTCCATGGTGATAAAACAGGCTGGATAGAGGGATTCTGAAACCAAGCTACAGTGTTTCCTTAAGCGTAGCTACACGTCCGACTGCATGAGGATGACAGTGAAATCCGCTCGAATGGCTTGAATCTTACTGAAAATATGCTTCTGAGAGAAGTCTCCGATGATGCTGTATGACCCAAAGTAACAATGACCTCCATAGTTCACCTGTCGACTAACCTATGTTCTCCGTTCGACAACCACACTCATCAATATTGTCATGTTTTAACCACTACGTTTTTTCAGCCAGAGTTTCCAAATGACCACCTGAGGTCTTAGTTTCTCTGATGACAAGTAGTTTAACCGTCCAACTGTTCAATGAGATTACAGAGAACGAAGAGGAATACCATGTTATTAACAGTATTTATATTTTTCAAATGCAAATACCCTCCACAACTTTCCCCCACTTTGTGTTTATTTCTTTTCCACATTCTAGATGAATTGAACATGAAGATCAAGCATTACAGTGGACTCTATGGCCTTTACAAGACTTCTGAATGTGAGTTTGGTTGATTCTAGTATGATTACGCTTTGGTTGTTTGGTTGTTGCTTGATTGATTTCACAGGTGATCGGGAATTGATATCGGCAGAAGAATCTTTGAACAGTGGATGGAGTGATGGTCACCTAATCCTTCTTCCTTCACTTGTGCTCATCAGTACACACCTCATAACCCACACAAGGATTGAACTGAAGGCCTACGTGTTATAAAGCGATTCAATGGGTAGTACACACACTGGCACGGTACTCAATGGCTAGTCGATAAACTCTAACTTCTGACTATTCATCATATATATAACGCCATCAGTATTTGCAGTGTGAACCTAGTGGGTGTAGCCATGAGTGCACACTACTGAACAGTTTCCAGAGAAGGTTGAAACAGCAGTCCTTGGTTTGCAATGATTCTCTAGTTGACACCATTTACTACACGATCAAACCTGAAGTGATTCTAATGCACAAGAAAGTTCAGATTTCATGCTAAATCACCTCTTAAACCATATGTACACAATCTCCAAACCCACCAACATGTGTATGCTATTCCTTTTGTTAACGTCATGGAGTTATTAACGATCAAAATTGATTGGCTGGTGGTCTGAATGCAGTGAGCCAATCTGCATATTCTACTGTCTGGCTATCTGAAACTTATTTGATAGACGCATAAACACAAAATGAAGAAGGACATTGCCAACAATATGAAATCGAATTTCTGTCACCCATCAAACAATACCCGTAGACAGTCCGAGGTCACAGTTAGCTCGACTCACTCAAACTAAATCTGATCGTATAGCAACATGTTATCCATGTTATCCCACAATCACATAGGGAGGCACTAAGAATGGTGAATCAACAAGGACCAATACAAATGATTCTGATCAAGTCAGCATATGCCTACTGCAGTTAACGCGAAGCAAAGACAATCATCACAGCGTTAGTTGAAACGTTCACAGAAGTGTGGATACTGTAGGCAGATAGTTTAGGAGTGATTTTGTAAACAATTATTCCATAAGAGTGATTACTCGTGAAATATTCGGATGTATTTATCTGTTTTACAGGCATTGCATTATTGACAGTCAAAGAACCGGAAATCAAATGGACTGTGAAGGATTTTCACGATGGTGAGATATTCAAGCTACTTTCACTGATAATATTCATGATCATAATAACAGTGATATTTTATTTAGTGACAAAATACTGAGACTTGTCCAATGACAGCGAGATATTTGAGAGCGGAATGCAGGATACGTTACACAGAGAAATGTTTGAGTTCGGCGCCTAAGCTGTTGTTCCAAGTTTGATCATGAACTGATGCCAGTAAGTGAACTAGTGAAAACCACCTGGAAGAACAGGATAGTAGCTTCATCCTACTTTGAGATTCTGCAGCATTTATGTACAAAATTGACGAGCTGCCGCAATCGTCGTTGTCAGTAACTATCAGTGCTATGAGAGCAGTCAAATAAGGATATCTGAATGACCTATTAGACTGATGGATAATTTGTATAGATGCGCTGTAATCATGAGACGAAAGCAAACAAAGTTGAATGTGGTCTTATGTAGAGTTTTGTAGGTGGTATAAGAGATAAAACGGGTTTAGAAACAAACAAACAAACCCACAAGGTCGTTAGCATGCAAGTAGAAGTGGTTGGATAATGATATCCTTTTGTATGCAGAGCCTGGAATTTACTGTATGAATAGTTAGAAATTCAGCAAAGGGTAGAGTTGACGAGAGTCTATCGCCCTCAGCATGTAATGCATCTTCATTTTGTGGGTTACTTCGAAGGCGGAGTTTGTTGAGATAGAATGACAAATGCCTGACTGAGCGTTCACCTATCGAAGATCTCATAGATCCACTGTCGCCAGCATTATGACAAGTTCACACTCATTGGTACTCGTGTTTTCATGAACAAAAGTGCATATGATGAATGCGATTGTAGAGCTAGAGAAGTAACTGATATCGTCAAATGGAGCCACCTCGTTGAACTCATTCCCTTGTAATTTTCAAAATGATTTACATTGATTGATGACAAACTACAGAAATCCTACACTTATGAAGTTTCGATCTGTGAAAGTGACTCGTAATCTGCTTCCATTGTGTTCATTACATGCCGTCAACCTGTCCGTTCAAAGATCCAAGTCCTTGCAGAAGACATCAGCTCACTCACGCCCAGCCTAATATTGGCGGCCGGGAACCGAACACCAGACCACATGCATGCCAAGCGGCGAAAATTGTATCACACAGTGTAACAGTATTATTCGCTAGATAACTGAATTCCGAATATAACTGATCATTTCAAGGTTGAACACGAAATCATATCACCATGGGAAACACTGAAAACCACCAGGGAGTACTGAACAGTGGACATTCACGTCCAAGTTTTGCACTCATCGGCAGTACGCAAACCACTTGGAGGCGAAACCAGTAGTTTCTGATTGGAAGGCAGCGTCGTTGACCATTCAGCCACCCGAATCTGAATCAAAAGCCGGTCCATGAATCCTAGCTCTCACCGACTCGTGATTTGTTATGAAATCTAGTGAAACAGGATGAATGTGGACAGTGCGATTGATAACTGATGCGTTATTTTCTGTTTTTTGTTCAATTCTGATTGTCCTGTTGATTGATTGGACTACGATATTCCACTTCAGTTGACATGTCGACCCTGCTTCTGAGGATTCCTCGGAGATGTCCGAGGACTCACGTTGAAGTATTTGAGGGATCGTGGCTAGAAATAGAGTGCAGAATGCACATTTCAAGTTAGGTGAGATTCGTCAGTGGGATACACCTGCAAACCTCAATGTTTGATTGTATTCCCGCTGGGACTGGAATCCAGCACCCATTGTTTAAAACACCAAAGTACTAACCATGACACAACTTCAACACCTGTGCACCTGGATGTCGGAGAAATTCTCCTCACTTGACAGTGAATGCGCAGGATGCATCAGAACTCTGAATATCACGTCTAGAAGCTGTGTGATGAAATGGTTCTGAACAATCAGAAATTGTCTTCAAAACGTAAAATCCAGTAAATGATATTTCTATGGTGGAATAACATGCTCACACCACATTCTGCCACTTTCACACATCTGCTGAGATTCTTTTCATATTGCTGTTGTCAACGTTATTTTTCTTCTGTCTTTCAGTTATACGCGACAGCAAGTATCAGATATTTGCGAACACTACCGTGGATTTCCTGAGCGGTGAGTACCAGTGATAACTGTCAACGGATAAAAGGGCATATTACAGCATTCAGTAGTGTTAATCAAGACTACCGTAGAGCCATGAAAACTACTTACTACTGATTGACTCTAATGAGTACTTGTAGACCACTTGCATCCACAATCAGTAAGGCCTGTTAGCCAGTTAGATCAAAGTGATCTGAACACCACTGCATGGCCATTTGTTCTCTTCTGTCGTCGAGTTCATCAGCGGTGTGACCAATTTACCTCAGCTCAAACCACCCAATTTTTGACTGGCTGCTTCGGCGAAACGAAAAGCTTTCAGACCACTTCATGTCAGTGTGTGTAGTGTGATAAATTCCATTTCCAGAATGGAAATATGCACAATTAATCACCAGCGACTTGTGTAAACTACCAAGTGGTCTGCAAGGTTGCAATATGATTTAAGAATATTGTGAGGCTCAATCAATAAATATGTCTTCCACTGTGACAGTTACATGCACATATCTATCCGTCCAAATGGTTCATGAATGATATTTTCATTGATTACAGAATTGAAAGGCGAATCGAATTGGAAGAATGAAAGGCAAATACGTTTGCTGTATAGTGAATATATCGGTATGATTTATTTTCAGAATAACTCCTTTTAACGTAAAAAATACTAAGTGACGGTGACATTAAATACTGCATCTTATTTCATGTATACACTTGGTTTCAATTTATTAGCCTACTAAGATATGAACACTAGTCGGATTGTTTGAAATTTCGCAAACCTGCGGATTTGCGAATTTCCACTGAACCCAAGCATAAGCATCGTTCTTGGTGGCTGTGTGCTTTGAAACGTACTTCAATGCATCAAATGATGCTCGTTGATACTATGAGAACAATCTGTCGTTCTCTGTCCAATGAAACTGGCTGTCTGCAGTCTCACATGTCTTCTTGTGTATACCGCAATACGAGGATTATATCTCTTCAAGACACCTGGTTCTATGATGTATATAATGATAATTTCGTCTGTCCGAATGGCTTGAGATCATTTAAAGATGATCGGTGTAGCTTTGAATAACATCTTGTGTCTGTGCATCCCCCAACAATCCTAAGTGGTGGTCAACTAACACTAACACCCACCTCAGTTTCTCAAATGACAAAATCGACTGGATTACTGTGAAATGTCGACTGAAGCACCTGTCTGTTGAGGTACAACTACAACGTCATTTCGAACATTTATATTGCGCCTGATTGTAGTCTATCAGAACTAATCTCATCTGCTGATGATCTCACTTCTTTCGCTACCACCTCCCATACCAACTTTCTATCAATATTTACTGGAGATTTCAGTGGCTGTGACTGCAGTTCCCCTATATCATTAGCTAATGAAAAAATTGTTCCCGTAACTCCAGCATTACAGATTGTGCTGCAGTTGGAACTAAATCGAATGTTGAATAATTTGGAGTATGCCTTTACTCCAATATCACTTAGTCTTCACTTTGACAGCTTGTTGATTCTTGTGTTCTATCCATGCTGTTGGATTTCTTCTCCTCAATCTCCCTGAAGCTACTGAATAACGGCTTCGTTACATTTCGGGGAGGGGGTAGAAGCTGTTGTCATGTCAGTTGGGATGTCAACAAACCAGCGTGCTAATACTGTTGTAGACAGACACTGGAACTGACACAAGAGAACAGCGAATATTTTCTTGTCGAAATCTGAGCAGCCTCTCTATACACAAGTCGCCCGTCTCACTTCATCAGATCGGACTAGAAGCAATCATCAAAATCTACATCTTCTGACAACTAAATATAAGGCTCCGCAAAACTAAGTTTGTAAAATAATTCGTTGCACACAAAAAATCGTATGTGTTCTATTGAGGTAGCTTAACTTGTAATATATATTGTCACTGCCTATTGTCTGTTCACCGAGGTGGACAACTCTATTTCATTTCCATTCTGTGTCTCCAATTTAAAGTAATGCATTGAACATTTAAACACATATTAGAACGTGGACGTGTTAAATGAGCTTAGCCAGTGACAAAGTGTCCGAATTTATCTACTCCTCAGGTTACTTGCAACGATATGAAAAGTCACACAGTGAGTTTAATGATATCCCGGATAAATATACAAATATGTGGGTATATATGCAGATGAGTGTGCTTATCTCTAAATACATATATACATATAATGATGAATAGATCGGCATGTAGAAAGATAGACAGATTGGAGAGAGCAAAATAGGCGAACTCAGCCATGCATTTTCTACTCTAATATTTATGGTGTTTTTCCAGATAGTACAGTATTTGAAAATATTGGGAAGAAAATGGGGAAGAGGAAAGTGAACGTAATCGTACCTGCAGGTAACGTCTGATCTCCACGAGGAAGTATTTTTCAGTATGTTTCTCGTGTTGTGGTAGGTGGACCAGTTTTCAATTCTTCTGTTACCCCTGCCACTGTTCCACACAATCATGTTATGACGTCCACAGACTGGAAATCATCACTGGTGGATATTCTCCGAATCATAGTCTCACCACTCTCCACCATTCATTTTACTTCAGTAGCATTCTGCTGCTGCTTTGAGTGAACTTCGATTTTCTGGTTGACTGACTGAATTGAAATATTCAATCTCTGTGGAAAGACTAACACCCACTGGGGATTGCAGAGACGTCTGATTGACGAGTTCTGGATAACACGAGACAAGCATCATGGATTCCACCGCTAGTCACAACCAACCAATTACTTCAAAGTATTGCACAGACTTCGTCAAAGCGTCAAATAACAAAGCTCGAACGTATCTGCCTAATCTGACAACAGAAAAATCGAAATCGACTTAAAGTAGACATATGATTGCAGGTTAATAAGAATTCGTGTTTCTGAAGAACATGCTGAATCTAACACTGTATTCTACTGATGATTTGCAGTGTTTGACCACTTGATAAAAACTCTTCGCGATGCATGGACTGCTAGAAAGGATCTGTACAAGACAGCAGGTTAGTCGACATAGTATTGCCGTCGTTGTATTTGTCGTTGCTTCAAAGATATTCAGTGTAAATGATAACAGCATTGTCGTGAATTCTATTTACATGTTTCGTTCTGTGTTTATTCATGATCCTGACAATAACTGCGAGAGTCACTAGGAATTCACAGGTCGACTAAGAGATCGCCTCTTGTCACTTCCCTTCACAGCTCAGTAGTATTCTAAGTGTTTATATACACAATGTTAATAACCAACACAAGTCACTGCCTATTGTCACTTAGAAGTGAAATAAATCAGAGTGTATAAGAAATAACAATTTATGAATTAATGTCACACGAAAAATGACTGACAACATAGAGTTTGGAAAGTACTTCGATATTATGCAATCGAGTGGTACAAATCTATATCGAACTATGAAATATCTAGACATTGTTGAATATTAGAGTTGAAGTTCACAAAAATCTGGCGACTTACAGTTAGCGACCAGCAATTTGAGCATTGAAACACCGACGAATACAGAAGGAGTTAGCGACAAAGAACTCTGGGGACATATTTACCAATAACCAATTCCTCAATAGATATTCTGAATTAAATGAGAAGGATCAATCACACAGTGAAGAGACCATCGAATGACATCACGCGTCAGGCCATCAGTCAAGTGTCTACATGACGCGTGATATCTTTGAATCGGTGTTAGGAGTATAACAGTTGTCGTTGCTAACTAAAGCGTTCTTAATCACATAGCGTAGTAGTGGCAGCATTAGTGAAATACTGGAGTCACCAGTTGAGGGGAATAATTAGCCAAGTATTTATTTGAGGAGGATCAGCATTTCGCATGTTGAAAGACTGTCAGTGAACGTTCACAGCCGAATGAATGTTAAGCCGTACTATTGACAGAACAGTATTCGTAGTGGCTGCAGTTGTAGTAGTAGTAGTGGCAGAAGCATCAGCAACAACATAAAATGCAGTTTCAAAATAGCGAGAAATAAAGTAAGTGTGTGAGTTTTAACTCTACCCTGGAACACCAATCTAATTAAGCTTAACTCTTCAAACTTATTCATCACAAAATACTGCTCAAAATATTTCGAAAATGATGACCATTCTTCTTTCATGCCAGAAATCTCACTGACGCAGATACACCAAACAATAGCAACTGTTGACTTACAATTGTTTCATATAATCATATACACTTTTTTGAAATAAATTTAACCAAAAACAATCTTGGTGTTCTGTATTGACAGCTGTGTACTCCAAAACCGAAAATATGCCTATGGATGACCACATCCCATATGGAAGTGAGTAAACAGAAGTAATCAAAGCGTATGGGTATTTTTTATTTATTGACAATGAATGTCTTGAAACCAGTTAGAGGTATGCTTTCTAGCTAACATCATTCAGAGTATCATTGGAAGTAAGCAGGGTGTACTGGACAGTCACTGCGTCCCATTTTACGACTCTTGATCAGTACGCACCCACTGAGGTTCGTTGAGAGTACCTGCATTTACAAGACGTTTTTGTAGACCATTCAGCCACCAGGAGCTGATCAACGCTGCGTGAATTCCAACTCCTGTCAGTAGAAACATGGTCATCAGCTAATTCGTGATCTCGTGTATCATGTACTTTATCTTCTCTTCTTGCCATGTGTTGATGAATGTCTCGCAAGTGAGATTACAGTGAATCCCTGTCTCAGTGTGATGTTTCGTGATCCGAATTAACCACAATCGTTCGATTATCTGCAGTCTTCAGTAATTGACACTGCTGTTGTTGGAGGAGGTGAGTGAAGGTCAACATTGGAAGCACTTCCAGGGTTTGTTCAGATTTCAATGCTGCCTTCCAGTAACGCATATGTCTGATGTCTTCCAAGACAGAGACGAAAGGCGTTTCTCAAATATGTCCTGTCAAAGTGGAAATGAATCGAAATTTATTTCACTTCCTTAGTGCGCTTCGAAGAACAAGGAAGGTGGATCTTGGAAAGATATCAATTACGAATATCCATCCTCAAGAAAGATTGAAATGAATTATTCGTACATTCCATCACAGTCTAACACATTGAAAACTATTGAAATGTATTCAAGGAAATGGCTCACGTGACGTAGGATGCGATGAGTTCTGTCGAGAACTCTATACAAATTATAAATACTGTTCAGAACGGAGATGTTTTTATTATTATAATTACCTGCCTTGGTGGGACACACGAGATAGTCAGGTTTCAGTCAAGAGATGGTCTGGTGTGCCGTATCACTCGACAGACTCGTTAGCCTGTATCTTATGAATCCTCACTTCTTCTAATTACCTGCTGAATTATCAGAACGTTACTGGTTCGTTCCCAGAGTTTCTTGGCGCCAATTCTTGCTGTCTGGTCATTTGATCTTCACTGTGGTGTCAGAGAAGGCAGCTGTTGATAATATTCTCATAAGACAAGTGTGAAATTTTTTCGGTGGCAAACCAAATCTTTCAAGAATATAGAGCTGACTTCAAATTATTGTGAGAAATCCGAATTTCATTCTTCATGCTGAGTGTGGCAGATTTCTAAACTGATTGCAGGCTGCTGAATGTCTGCCTAACCTCTCTGATTCTCAAAATCCTTGACATCCCCACTCGTGCTGCTTTTGTTTGAAAAAATGCCTCCTAGATAAGTGCAGGGAATGACAGCCTTCAATATTCTTCCACTTATAGTGATTGGTGCTTGTTCTTACTGTTGCCGGGGTCTTTTATTCACTTTTATCTTCTCTCCATGCTCACTGGAGGTCCTGTCTTCGATGGCTATATTTTCTGACAACTGAATGATTTCAGCATGCAAGTCTTCAGATTTTTGTAAAATTAGGCAACGGCCATCCTGAAGGTCCAGAAATATCATAGGTGGTGGTAAGAAACCATATCTTACTCAGAGGCTTCGCTGAGTTTTCCGTCATCGATAACTTGACACATGGCATTTGCATATAGCTGTTGGATTTGACTGGTGAGGGTTTTTCGACATTGCACTGCATAGTGTTGAAGTCGTTTTCGAATGACTTCAAAAGCCATTTCGAACTCGATGAAGTTAAGACGGAGATTTGACCGTCATTTAATGCTCTGTTCAATGACGGTGCACTGAGTTGTCATTTCGTCTGTTCAAAATTTGCTTCTCCTCAATCCAGCCAATTGCGGGTGAAGTTGTGCATCCACTGTAGAATGATTATATAATTCCATTTTATTTGTTGGTAATATTATTTTCCTGAAATCTGATATCAGTATCTGGTACTGCGTCATTTCTACTGCACATGTTGCTTGTGCATTCAATGAAGCAATTCTCAGTGATCCAGCGTTCTTTCCTCGCAAGTAGAAAAAAAGGACCTCAACTGGAACATGCAGTAATCCGAGGAAACAAGTCATGCATCGATTGAATCGTAGCAATACTCATCGTCATAGCAGTCAACTTTAACCACTTTGAAAATGCCTTCGATAGCGTCAGTCGAAAGGTGATATAGAGACTTCTTCTCTACCACAGGGCGATTCGGACAACTATACACCCCGTCTAACATTCGTGCAACAGTGCTGCATGCCAAGTAATCCACAACGGGGCACTCGCGGAATCCTCCCAAGTGAAGATGGGAGTAAGGCACGCTGACTGCCTACTGTTCTCAATCATTTTCCTTATTGCGAGATAGTGCGACAGAGATCAGGAAACGAAGAGTAAAATGGACCAACACAGAACACTTCGAGGATGCAGATTTCGCCGATGATATTTGCAAGTTATGCAAGTGAAAAGCAAGAAGTCGGTGATGGAGGAAGAATCAAAGAAAAATATGTTTTCAAGTGAGCATAGAGGAAACAGAGTTGACCAAGATTCCTGACAAATACCAAAAGCAACAACAACCACAAAAACAACAATCAGCATAAATGGGAGAAATCTGAGGGAAGCAGCCTCTTAACCTTCAAATACAGGCGAAGGGAACTGGTGTGGATATCAAATCGAGGATTGAGAAAGCCAGTCAAGCTTTCATTATTCTCTACTCTGCGAAGAGACCAACAACAATCAGCCTGGAAAATAAGATGCACACCAATGTGAAGTCAGTGCTACTATGCACGTCAGACACTTGTCGGGTCACGAAAGAAACTTTGAACAAACTACGGACATTTATCAACCACTGTCTTCGCCCCAATACTTCGTTCAAGATCAGATGACCAGAAAAGATGAGCGACATTGATCTCTGAGAGCAAACCAATCCAGCTGGAACCAACTGACAAACAAATATTCAAGACGAAATGGAGGCGAATTGGTCATACCCTATAAAAAAACATCAAGTGGCATCACACGCGAGGCCATTGCTCGAGTAAAGAGCTGAACGGGAAACGGCGAGCTGGTCGTCAGTGTCAGGGTATCACAGAGGAGGTGATACGAAGAGGAGACGAAAGCATGTCCGCAGACATGCAGCCAGGTGGAAAATTTGGTTGAGAAATGAACGCAACAGAGACGTGTGGCTGAAGCCTCTCAGAACTAAATGAAACTTGTGCAATAGCTTGTCTGAAATACACACACGCATACGATGTTATAACATAATACTGATGGACAATTTAGTTTTCCACATATACTCAAACCTACAATCAATTGATTTCATTTTCCCTTAACAATATTCAAATGAAACTCACATCAGCATTGACTTCTGCTCTTCTTTAGATGTAAACGTTACCGTAGGAGACTGGGTAAAAATTTTTGAAAGGGAATTTGTCAAATCAAGAGGTAAACAAATATTTGAACAAAATGTTTAATTTCAAAAACGCTTCCTACTTTGATATTTTGAGTCATGTAGAAGCGTTGATTTGTGATAGTCACTCGTTGGTTGATGAGAGGACACTCCAGTGACTGAAGATGGTGCTTAGTAAGGCGATGAAAGCTCTTCAACCGAACTATCCAGCTCGATGAACACAACTACACCAAAAACTACTCATCCAACGTGGATCTATAATCTTAACATATCTCCTAAATTACACTCTCATATTGACTACATTAACTGAGTAAGTAATTACTAAGGCATGATAAATAATCAGGCGCATTTCCACCTGCTTTCCCTGTAAAGTGTGTATGTGGGTGTTGAGAATAATAGATGATATGCGTGCACGGAGTACAGCAATTTCATTTTGCCTGTTCGGTCGGATTATCTTGAAGTTTGCTTCATTTCATTTCCATCTGTCCAGGGAAAGTTGAGCAGGAATGTTTGCGAATATCAGGAATGCAACCCAATATAACTGGTAAGTCCCAATTTGATTTCTAATTGACAAATTGTCGCGTCAACTGACCAGCAAAATCAGCAACATCATCAGATATTGTCGCAATAAACTGCAATAAACTCAATTTATTGTTTACGGTGTGATGTGACATCTGTATTTCCCGTTTGTCACCATAAAATCTTCTTGTGACTGATATGCAACGGTGAATAAAACTGACTATATTCAGTCCGAATTAGTCGTAACTGATGTGGGAGTATGTGTACTGCTCAATTGACAAGAAAACGTTACTTCCGTGCACCTGTAGGTACTGTGATTCATCCATACAAGGTTACATCCATTCAAACATACATTCCATTGGTTGCTTATCTACATCACCTCCGAATTATCTATGGTTACTCAAAGTTATGCCTTCTCTGTCAGCCACTTCGGCGTGAAATTTAATTTAAACTGTAACTGTACGACTGTTTGTCACACTGAAGGTTAATCGCGAAGTTCAAGTTTATCCCGTAATCACTGATGAATATATTTTGTACCTATTAACATGTGTCGAGTGCTTGAAGTCACTTTATTTGCTATTCTCTGACAATATGCAACTCATATCTTTCTTCGACATAGCAACTGTTCACTATCTACGAGATTTCACTAGTTCTCTAACTGATGTCAAGTAATGATGTAAACTTATCCCACATCCATCTGTTTACTATACAGTGCCGTCTAAGTGCATATGAAACATATTTCGTGCGCATCCACTTGCGTCAGTGGTCCACCGGTGGAATCCTTGCAATGAGTTCGAGACCATGTCGATGTACACTTATATATCGCCTAGTGTAAAGGCACATAGCGAACTTGCGCCTGAGGCTAACAAATCACTTCCTCTAAATAATGTCTTAGCTTCTGAAACGTCAAGATTTCAACTTCCTTACAGCCATATGCTCCAATTAGAACTCAAGTAATGCAAAAGAAAAGTCTTCTTGTACTTCATAGCATTTGAATCCCTTCACCTTCTTTAATCCATTGTGCCTGCTAACAATTTCTATCAATATCTTCATATATTTTCTCAGCTGCCAAAATATCATTGAAGAAATCAGATCAGAAAATTGAAGTAATGTCTAAATTCCATGCTGCTGTTGGTAAGCAGAAACTTGTGTGTTTCCAATCCTCCTACCCTCTCATGTTAAGCAATTCAAAATACTGACTGACATCATAATGCAGACTTAAACAAACAAGGCCTGTGTGCAGATCTCTAGGACACACAGAACTTCACCCACATAACACATGTTGAGAGTCTATTGCATCATTTTCTGGGAGGAAGTTTCGAGAGGATGAAATTGTCATAGAATATTCAAGAGTCATTCTGTATGGAGTTGATATATTTGAAGTTTGATCATGGTTTGAAATTAGCTAGATGAGCAAGGAAACGGCTGCTCCTTCTCATTTCGGAAATATTATTCAGTATGCTGCAACAATACCACTGGATATTGAGGCAAAGACCTGCAGGTGATGGGAAGAAATCTCGTTAGGCACGTAACCGCAATCCAACGGTTCTTGAATTCCAACATGTATCACTTCGTGATTTTATCGCGATCGCCAGCCAGTATCGTAGACGAGTATATGTCCTAACATCCTGACAGGTGCACACCATTCATCTCGTCTTGCCACTAGATCTCCAGTCAACTTCATCTTGTAGTCAATCACTAGTGAGGGCCACAACCGGCAGGTCCTTGTTCTTACCACTGACAAGTCAGTTAATGCATTCACACTGTCAATGAGTCCCGAGCTGGGAATGTACAGCCAGCTGGCCATTACTTTCAGCTGCTTTTCAATGATTCTCCTGCTGATATCAATCCATGATTCAACCTTGGAAGAAGTTGAATCCTTGCGAAATAATTCCTGGGAGTTAGGTCATTTGCCCATTGTCTGATTGATCACAGTAAAAATCTCTATTGCTGTGGTTTCTTTCTGTCAGACGTGCAACAAACAATAATGCATGGTGAAAAGTGATAGAAAGATGAACAAAATTTAGGCAGCATAAGAAGATGTCACAAACAGTGTGACAGTAATTGAAGAAGCGACGATTTGCCAAGACAATCCATGGGGATCACAAAATCCCTCTCTACGCTGCGGCTTCTGTATATCGTAGTAATATGCTGTGACTGTCGGTTTACCATTCGGAAGGCTACTACGCTGTCTTCGACCTAATGAGAATCATTTTCGCTCATGTTAGGAAATCCGCCTTATATGTACCTTGTCAGTTCTCCCCATGTAAATACATACGTCTGCAACTACAGGTTAATAAATGAAGCAATGCCATCTTAGGTTTCATGAGGCTTTCTCACAACCAGATATAAATTCTTAAGAATATTATAGGTAATGTGGGCTACGACGAATACTACTAATTTCGTGATACATGCATTATGCAGTCAAAGAAAATCTCGTGAGATCATTTTGTCGCCTTTTAATGAATGCCAATCTTAGGAATGTATTCTTCTTACTTCGTACATTTATTTCAATCAATTATTTATTATCCATCTGACTTGAGATATTCACTGATAAATGCAGTGAGGGGGTGTTCATTGTCGGTGGATACTTTGTGAATTCGACCGAATTATGCGTCCATCAACGGTTGAGCTACTCGTTAAAGTCAATCTATTGTCAAGAGCTCCTACGTGAAGAAATTGGACAGAGGCTTTTCAATGGTGAATATTATTGACCTATTGAAGTCAACTTATGATAATGTAGAGCTATTTTCACTTTCTAGCAGGACTCAATTCTGAGTTAAGCCTATCTGATTCTGTTTCGTAAAGTTGTCTCTATCTGACTACACCAATGTGCATAAAGCTTCATTCACTCCCGACACAATCTCCTCAGTGTCACCTTCAGGCGCTCAACTCATCGTTTTTCATTCGAGTTCACTGTGATGACGTCGTTAACTGCAGGTGGTGTTGGATTACTGAAGGTTCTAATCTCAGTAGGGAAGAGAGTTGTTTCTTCAAGCTTGCGAGCAGAAAATTGCTGAGTGTTGATTGCCAGCCAACAAATCAAGCAGGACATCGGAATGTCAGACAGACAGACAGACAGAGCTTTCTACCTACCGATCGCCCTCAAACCATACCATGACATTTATTCTTATCATGATTTATAGAATCCAGTCACAAATTCTGCAATACGAAGCAGGAGGAGAAATAGACATTGCTCCATTTGTATTAGATATCCGTTCAATTATTATTATTATTACTAATTGACATTATTTCGCACGTTTAGTTGAAATGATTTCTGAATTGGAAAAGATTGAGAAGCTAAGAATTAAGCGGTTTCAGGGTAAGTTCAAATTTCACCGTTATAGTAATGAATACATAAATGTTTAGAACTGAATCCATATGATATAGTGGATACAGCTCTCAATGCGATGGTACGAGAGCGTGATCATGAATTCCGGGAAGTGATTCAGAGGTAATTTTCATGCCATTTATTTTGTTGTGAGATAAATATTAAGCTGCCTTCAGAATATTAAATAGTGTCATCATTACTGTTATTATTGACTCACGTATCGCTTACTTTCTAAGGGGAGTATAATGTCTGAGATTTGGACTTCAGTGCATATACATACTTCAAAGTCGTTATTCTATGCTGTGTTCAATGACAATGCGAAGTGTTGAAATTTGGTCCGCACATGACCTCCTTTGCCTGAATCCATCATGTTATGAATGTCTGCTGAACACCTTTCGGTCTCTCCACGATGATATGACTTCATATTTTGTTTGCGTTGAGAAGAAGTTCAATGTCATATCAGTTCCTCATAATTCTATAGTCGTTTTCCTTTGGCATCATGACGAGATAGCCATTCCTCCCTTCAGTAGGTAGCATTCCTTCCAGCTTTTCACACCTACACTAGTGGCGTTGGCACTTACAGCAGGTATCTAGTTCAGAGGCCAGCGATTCTCCTGGTGCATGATATGTGCATTGGTTGCACAGTGGTTAGGACTCTCACCGACCATGCGCATGGTCCGGAGTTCGATACTCTGACGACTCACACCCAATATCTATGTTCGGCCTGCGAAATTTGGGCTACCGCTATCACATGCTGAAAATTCCATTCCTATACCGAAAATACGATGTGCAATCAAGCTGTAATAAAAAAAATACAAAATAATTAAGTGCTCCATCTGGATCATATTCAGTATCTTCCACTGTCTTTGTCTGCGTTCACCTCTTCCCAGATAGCGACTTGTATTTCGGTCAGAACCCCGTCAACCAAACGCCTTCGTCCGTCTGAATACATTTCCGAACTTCTGAGAGTGACTCACACGCCAAAATTTTCTTCCCAAAATGTTGAAAGATGTTTTAGGTAGATCAAATCTGAGACAGTATTCAGCAGCAATGATAACTTACGTAAAAAATGGAAAACATCCTCAAACAAGGTTATCAGGAAATACAATTACATGGTCACTCGTCGAGAATTCAATTGAGTTCATTTTACAATTAAGATTGCGCTGAAGACTTTATCTAGAAAAGCAAAGAAACCTTCACAGTTGAATTACACGCATCAGAAATTTATTGTGTATAGCGCCACCACCAGCCGATGCAATTGGTGAGCGTATATCCCCACACCTGACTTCATCAACCCCATTGGACATGACTATCCACTCACTACGACTCCAGGCAGTCACAACAGTTAGAGAAACAGTGAAAACCAGCTGGGAGTACACACCGTCATCTGTCCCAAACGAATACCTTCCGTCCACCAGTCAATCTCTTAGACCATCCCAACTCATGAATTCTAACTTTCAATACTTCATGATGTCTTGTGCAACTATCACTTGAAACAAATCGAATATGCACCTGGCTACAAATTGATTCTTGAAAATTGTCTCAATCCACAACTACTATGTATTAATATGCCTCCATCTTTTTCACAGGTGAGCAATATTTATGAAACACAGTGGACATGGAGTGTTCACAAACTCAGAAAATTTGATTCTTTTCTCGTGATGGTGGTGGTGGTGTGTTATTAATTAATTACTAATTCATAGTAATAAATATTTTCTCTTTTGTTAAATAAATCCTGCTTGTAACCAGTCGTTGTGTCTTTCAGATAATCTACTTGTACGATTCCAGTTTATCATCTGGACACACACACTCATAACCGCTGTGATGACTGAGAACTACGTGGTTTTGTCTGAACTCAGGAAGACAATCTTTGCGGACCGAATCTCGCCTAAGAAAGACACAGTAGAGATCTGTCTGGATGATAGTAAAACGACAGTTGTTCACGGCAAAACCGGAAGTACTACCTTTAGACAGCGATACACATCTAATTCACTATGAGTTACAAACTAAGTACAGCAGAAACGTAGGAAGCACTTGGAAATCTAGAAGATTATTGTCAGCAATTCGGGATTGAAACTCCGTCAGCAACAGTCATGCACCAAACACTCCCAGCAGACACTCCAAGGTTCAGAATTCACAGCTTGAACCTTGATCTCATTCAAACGAAATATCAGTCATAGGAGAAGAATTTGTCAGCGTGATCACACAGTCAGAAGGAGAAGCATTGAAATTAAAGATTGGACAAAAACAGACAAAGACAGATAAAGATAGTTAAGTCAACGGATGACAGGCGAATATGAAGACAATGATATGCAGTCAAAAATAACAAAAACCGATAATAAATAAGAAGTTAGCTGGAATGTCTAGAGAAATGTCAATAATGTGATTAGATTGGTTGAGAGATGCGTTTCCCAAACAATCGCTCCGTTACACTCACTAATATCAGACTCTTATATGTCGCTCGGTCGTGAAAAATGTCCATTGTTTCCATGTCTCATTATCTCTCTCTGTCTGTTATATCCCTGATTATTAACACTGATAAAATTGAAACAAGATATAGGCGAACAATATGGTTTTGTCTATTGAGGAACTACTTTTTCAGGACAGTATTAACAGTTCTCAGTCCCGTTATCATCCGATACAAAATGAAATTGGTCAGATGCCTCACAAATAGATCAAGAATAATGTGCACCGATAATTCCTTAGAAAATGCATCACGATACACAAACAGCGCACTAGGTCGAATGAGTTATCCCAGTTTGTGTGAAGACATGTGAGAAGACACATGAGTACTGTGCTTAACGATGCGAAATCCACCACACAATTTAAAAGAAAACACTTTTCCTTGAGTCGCAATTCATTGGGGGTCATGGCTAGTGTAGTCTTTCGCCGTAGACCAACTAGAACCATGAAACGAATTTATGCTGATGGAGCCACCCACTCTTCGTCATATTTTTCTGTTCCCTGTGTACGCAATAAACATCAGTCAGTAACTTAAGTCTCCTGCGATTACAACTCCCTCCAATGTTGTTCGAATTTCAGTGTTCTGTCGTCTCACAGTAATTCAGAATACACGTTTGTCAGTAAAACTAATTCAACAGGATTGGGTACCGACTTTCTCATTCTTGCATGGATGAACGAATTGGCTTAACACAAAGAGCACTGTAGAAGAACTTCAGACTTCCATCAACGGCTGCTTTCTTCTTAGCATGATACCTTATATCACGCAGCTAGCTGTCTAGAAGGCATTTGCACCAAGAAACTCTGGAAAACAAACATCCAGTCAAAACGCATGCACGACAAAACGCAGATGATTCCCGAACACACCAAGAAGACCGCCTATCGACATCACACGTCGGACAAACGCACCAGTGGAAATCGAATAGGAAATAATCAGCAGGGCGTCAGTTCAAGTGTGAATATAAATTAGGGTGTGTGAGGAGAAGATATGAGCTTATGAACAATCACGTGGCCTGTTGGATACAATTCCAGAGAACAGAATGATATGGACGTGTGTCGTTGAATGCCTATGTTCCACGCGGAACCTAAAGGAAAAGCAATCAAAATGTAATAATGTAGCGGTAGGATACAGGGAGACCGGATTCACTAATCAACATCCATTCACAGCACATTTCACTTCACAGAGAGAAAGTCTCATGTAAAATTAACCACCGCAATTGTCCACAAAGTTGTTACTTATTTATTATGTGATTGTTTTGCGTGTCAGTGGAACTCTGGGTTGTATCGCGCAGCTAGGAAGTGCCGTCAGGAGTGGACACTACTTCACACAGGTTGTAATATTTACCCTGACGCTCAATATTTCATCATTCATATATGTTCACCATCAAAGTGAGGTGTAAGAATGCATTGGGAGAGTAGAGAGAGATAGAGAAAACGTAACCACTTCCGAGCTTCGCGGAAACACTTGGAAGCCAATATATGGTGAGTGGAGTGCTGAAATGTAGAAACAACCAATACAGAGAATCACGAGTGACATTTGAAACAGTAGACCGCCATGTGCCTACATCCAAACGCATCTGAACCCACATGCTGTATACCAGGGAAAATTTTGCCTGAAGCAATTAGAAAAATAAAGTTCCAATATACACGTTCCAGGAGGTAATCAGAATTAAGTACGAAAAGTAGATACAAAAAGTATAAATTCATGTTAAAATAAACAAACGATTTTATTGAATTAAATTAGATATAACTTTAAGAAGAATAAAGAATAAGGATTAGAAGGTAGCAATAGAGAAACAAAATTCGAGTGACACTACTTACTGGAATTAAGTAGTGCACAAATGAACACTTAAAAAGTAACGATATTTGAGCGGATGTCAGTTACTCCGACATGTAAGCAGCTTGTGAGATAAGCTCAACAGGTGTGCTGGGAAGTGAAGCAGGCTGCGAATGAAGAACAGAACTTAAGGAGCTCCGTCTAATTACGTTTGCGATAACTCTCGGTCGCCATTAATAAATCGAAATGTCAAATAAAGTAGAACAGAGCCCAGCTAAACCAGAGTCCGATCACAGTAATGCATGACTCCATGGAGTGGAAACAAGACTGTCCAAATGAACGACTCTAATCAGTATATGCCATGTAGACAAAACATGCATGGCAAATACATAGTTTGTGATAATATTAGGTGGTTGGAGGCAATCGGCAGGAAGCCTTGGACCTAGGTTTCGTGCTAGTTGGCACTCGTCAGCAAGGCACTAGCACGAAACCTAGGTCCAAGGCTTCCTGCCGATTGCCTCCAACCATTTAATACCAACAATTCACAGTGCACCGTAATGGCGAGCCAACTAGCATGGTGGCCACATTGCAAACATGACTGATAGAATTCAGTCTGCACCGAAGGTAGGACTAGACACATTACACTAGTTACTGACTAGTGTTCAATCAAAAAAAGCTATAATCAAAACATCGTTTCATAATCTTGTGTACTTTTCTAGTATTTGTCCCATTGCCGAGGTCACTAATAATTATCCTGCAAATCTGTTTGTGAGCAAGTGTGAGCAGTTTTATATCTTTAAACTGTTAACTAATGTTCTTATCATCTTTCATCACATTTACATTAAATTTACCTATCTGTGTACCACCATTTCCGCATTTGAATCTTGTCTTCACCTTTCCGTTCAATTGATTCACCAGAAATTGAGGAGATATAAGATTCACCAATAAATGCAATGGAGAACCTGGATCTGCTCCCCTGTGAATTAACTGAGCTTAGGATTTGCTTCACTATCGTCGAAGTCATTTTCGCTGTCCGAGGGATTTAGTCACACATTGCAAAGCATTGATGCGTCTTAGCTGTATTGCCCACACAGGTACTCAGACACGCTACTGCTATAATTGACAGTGCTCTCGCACACAACTAACATGATCGCTTCAAAGCAGTTTTCAGTCAAAGAAGGAGCGCCTCCGACGAGAAGAGGATTCAGGAATTACCCACTGGCTGTGATTTGTGTTCAAAGACGGAGTCTCGCTAAGGATTTCACAGCATATGTAGTAGACGTTAACCTCCTACAGATCCGTCATATTAGATGAACTCAGTGAGCCTGCAGGCGATATTCTGGACGTAAGGCATGACACCAGTGTCGACAATGCATCAACACGTAATGAGGTACGTGTTCAGGTAGTGCCAACTATGGACACACCTGTATTATCAGCTATTTCAGCATTAGCAAACAATATAGAGCAGTTAGAAACACGGGGTTCGTGAACACGCGATTGAAGTGATAGATCATACACAGTCCAGGTGAAGGCAACGTCGACGTTCTTCTTCAGGATATCGGACAGGGACAAATCCTAATACTCGAAATACTTACTGGTATTAGAGAAAGGTAAGAAATTGATGTATTTGAAGTATAATACCCTGCAATTTCGGCGTTAGTGGCTCGACTGTGGGAAAATCGCCATTCAGGCAGTTACTGGCCACCACTCAATTCGCTTTTTCTACATGAGAGATAAAACTTCAATCAAATTTCCCCTGGTATACAGGACGCAGGTTCAGATGCATGTGGATGTAGGCACATGGCAGTCTACTATTTCAAGTGTCACTTGTGATTCTCTGTACTGGTTGTTTCTTCAATTCAACACTCCACTCACCATATATTGGCTTCCAAGTGCTACCGTGAAGGACGCAAGTGGTTACGTTTTTAACAAGAGAAGACAAGGGCCAGGCAACAGAACGTTTATTACGGAAAATCAACACATATTTATAGATTTTGATGTACATTATTGTAGGTTAATGTTAGTAGAAAATGCTGCCTGTTGATTGGTTGTTTCTCACACAAAGTTAACCTTGCATCTCTTGTGGCTGTGTCAGTTCATCTAAATGTTAACTGTATCCGCCTGTCCATATTGACCTTGTTTTCACATGACTAACATTGACCTCAATTACTGTCAACCAATTTGGCTAGCAACCATCTCTCACCACACCTTTACTTTCTCTCTATATATACTCTGCTGACGCATTGTAACACCTCACTTTGATGGTGAAAACATATGAATGATGAAATATTGAGCGTCAGGATAACTATTTCAACCTGTGTGAAGTAGTGACCACTCCTGCCAGCACTTCATGGCTCCTCGATATAACCCATAGTTCCACTGACATTCAAAACAATCACATAATAAATAAGTAACAACTTTGTGGACGATTGTTACTGTTGATTCAAGGTGTTTCCAGCTAAGAAAACGCACATTTCCCAAATAAATAACGCCACGATTCAACA